CTGGGAGGACGTTTGTTGCAGAATCTCATTTGGTTGGATGACTCTATCCTCCGTGGACACACGATTGGAATGCAAAGCACTGGGCCCATTCAACTCCCTGCACAAAACAGCCTTTCTTCCCTTCCCCCCTCCCGTCCTCCTGACCTTGCCACAACGCTCCACGATCGCCTCAATTACTGTAGATTGGAAGAGGGGACCAATAGCTTGACTTCCGCTCTGCCGCATGTAAAACAAGCATTATAATGTCCATCTTATATATCTAGACACACTCACACACACCCTCCCCATGGAATGATATCTGGGACGCCAGCAAGTTCTCATTTTGTTGAACAAATAAAACCTTTGGAAGAAGTTGGATTTTACTTGGGGGCTTTGGGATGGCTTGATGTGAGTGGAATGGACATGATGCAAGCAGCCATGGAACTGACAGGAAGCACAAAATCTATCGGAGAGCCAATAGCAAACAATGCCCTGGATGGATAGATGGATGGATGGTTAGTTGGATGGATAAACTAAATGTGATCAGCAGAAGACAATATTGTGTCATGTTGACCAAATGATGGGATAATCCTTGAATCCTTTCAGACAGACTGACACATCCATTTATATAAAGTTATATATTTGGGTGGCATTTGTTTTGAWGCACATCATGACCAAGTAATCTTTCCTCTGAGCCTAGCAGAGGTTAGTTATGTAACTGTGACAACAGAACCTGCAGCCACACAGTAAATAAAGGTCATGGTCATTAATATAGCTTTTTGATATATTATAAGTTTGTTTATTGTAAATATGTACACATTTCATTAATCTAAGTTTGTTAGTATTTAAATACTTATGTAGTTTAATTTCACACTTTTGCATCATGGGATATTAGGGTTAAATATTTGGAATGCACACTTTATCAAATGTAATAGTTTATTTTGTCATTTGCAATGATTTAACTTTTGTTTCGAGTTGGCCCTTCCTTTGGAGAGGTTGCTGAACTTGTCCTGCCACTCAGTGTAAACAGCCCCAGCTGCAACAATCTAGAGATCACAACTACCTTAGATCACCATGTTGCATGTCAGCAGAGGGAGAAGTTTGTAATTTTCTTTCTCATCAGCTTCTGTTCTCTAAGTATATACCTTAGTTAAGTTGTGTTATGCAGTGTGTTACTGCAGCTTTTTTATTTTATTAATTTTTTTGTAAATAAATTAGAAACCATTTTTGACCAATATTGTATCTCTCTTGCGGGTTTATATAAATCATTCTAACAAAAAAAAAAAAAAACATACATTATGCTCCTACAGTACAAAATGCCACTTTTTTCCAGGTACATACATTTGGAACTCCTAAAGATGGTGCAATTGATGTGAAAAAAAAAACTGAGTAAGCAGTTTATCAATACAGTATGTGTGAATTATTATTATTATTCAGAGTAGAGCCACTGCTCCTCCACGTCGAGAGGAGCCAGTTGAGGTGGCTCAGGCATATGGTTAAGATGCCTCCTGGATGMCTYCCTGGTGAGGTGTTCCGGGCACGTCCCACTGGGAGGAGGCCCAGAKGAAGACCCAGGACACGCTGGAGGGACTATGTTTCTCAGCTGGCCTGGGAACACCTTGGGATTCCTCCAGAGGAGCTGGTCCAGGTGGCTGGGGAGAGGGAAGTCTGAGCTTCTCTGCTTAGGCTGCTGYTCCTGAAACCTGACCCCGGATAAGCCGAAGAAGATGGATGGATGAAGATGAAGAAGATGGATGTGTGAATTATTGGTGGCTTCAACAAAAACACATGAATAGTTTGTCAAAAGTCCTGTAAGTCTAACTGGTATGCATGAATTTTAGCTGCTAATAAAAACTACTAAAGGAATAATTAGAGGTGGTCAGTTACTGATTCACCCAGAGGAATGATTCGAATCCTCTCACTGAATCTGGACTCATGAGTCCGAGGTCTCAATTAACCTGAACACTACATGTCTCTGAYAAACTGCTGCTAAGTCTGTGAGATAGTGAACTTGTACAAAAAAATGAAGAAAAAATAGATAAAAAAAACAATGGACTCATTGAAAACACTAAACGAGTCACGTCAAAAACACATTGGAACTCAAGTGAACCAGGTCACTTTAGTAAGTGACTCAGATGAACTTCAGTTCATAAAGTGCGCCTCTGGGAACAATCCTTTTGTCAAACAGAAGAAAGAATAATTCTGAAAAGGTTGAAGTTAAAGTCTTGAAAGCACACTAAATTTCAGTATCTTTGAGTTGCAAGATTGATTACAACTCTAGGATTTTCAACACAAATTCTGATTTATTAACTTTATTTTTAGTTTAATGTACTTTGTTTCTGCTCACCAGAAAAAAATAGCTTGTTTCAGTCAACCACATATTCTAAATTCTGAAAGATGTACATCTTACATCTGAAGATGTAAATAGCTAAAACTGAAATATTTATTTTTATTGTTTCAGTTTTATCATTTGATGACAAACCTAACACTTTCAGTGTTAGGCTTTTAGTTTTGTAGATGACTGTAATTTAGTTTTAGTTTTTCATATTTTACTGACATAAAACTTGGATCCTTGTGTGTGGTAATCTAATCTGATGCTTTTTTCTTCCTAAAAACCCAAGCAGAAGTCTGTCTTCATAAATATGGAGTGAGAACACATAATAAGACGTTTTTGCATGAGCTAAAATAGCAGCTTTTCAAATGTCAATGTGTTAATATTCTGTCCATCTCAGAGTAGCAAACAAACAACGGGCTCAGAGAAAAGAACTCAAAGAAAAAGACCGGAGGCCGCAGAAAGTTCCAGTTTGGAAGATTACRGAGTTTTGTTTTTGCTTACAATATCTTCATCACTGAACATGTTTGACCTTCCTACAGATTATTTTTACTTCACAACCTAACCAGTCTTTTCAATAACATGTGCAGTTTGTAAAATTTTGGTTCCTGAGTCAATACCTGAAAAATTCTGATTGTGCAAATTGTTCAGTAATTTAAAGCAGATGCTTGCAGACAAAATGAGCTATTTGAGCAGGCTTATTGAGAGGACACATGGCCCAAGCATGAGAGCTGTCAGCTGAAATAATTTAAAGGGATTATAAAATCCTTCTAAGAGCATAATGACAGAGCGTGACAAAAAAAAAATGTTGGTTGTTTCTAGTCAACCGTGTCTAAACTTTGAGACAAGACAAACAAAATAAACTAAGGAAGACGTCAAAGTGTCAGCACAGAAAACCAAAATGCCTTTAAAACAGAAATTGCAAACAAAAGCTGCAAAAAGCTATTTGCCAATTTGTCAGTAAATGAATATCGACTGCATGTGTGTTGACTTTGTGGACAGTTTTTTTTTCTCATTTTAAACTAACAGTGGATTATTGTTGATTAAGTAAAACAAAAAGTGCCCAAAATGTTTGTATTCAGAAAAAATGTCAAATGTCAATATTTCAAGCTTTTACAAACTCCAGTTTATACAGTCTTGATGCATCTCAGTAATCCAGGTAGAAAAAAATCAAAAAGAAAAAAATAAGTAGGTCCTCTGGGTGGGTTCTTCTTTAGTGAAACGTTTCATATCTCCTCCAAGAAACTTCTTCAGTCTGATGAGTTTCAGGTGAAGTCAGCATTATAAGCCCTGCCTCCACATGGACAAACAGGTTAGTCAAATGCAAAATAGGGCCACCGACTAACAATAGGCTTGATTGGCTTTATTGTTCATAGAGGGTCATGTGCCCCATCACTTGACCCATGTCGTGTTATGTGAATGTACTGAATGCAAGCGGGGGTTCAACATCCCCTTGTTTTTTGTCCCTCTTTCCCTCTTTGTGTTGGGTATCATTGGGGCCCTGATTCACACCTTTTGCTCACAGGGGGCTGAGTCATATTTGCAATAACAGCCTTGTTGGARGAGGACAACTGGACACGAAGGCCTCCACCTCTGTTTAATGGTGGATGATTTTTCTTCACAAAGATGGCTTCCTTTACTCCTCCCTCAAACCAACATTCCTCTCTATCAAGGATGAGAACATCTTCATCCCTGAAAGAGTGACCGCTGGCCTGTAGATGAGTGTAAACTGCAGAGTCCTGACCCTGATTTTTTTCTTTTTGATACAATTTATACATTTTTCTGTTGATTTATGAGTCACTTTTGACTCTAAATGCAAACATTTGGTAAAAAAAATGCCTATTACCATAGGTAGTTTTAAAATCCATGTGGTTAATCTTTGATATTCTAGCTATGATACTAATTTGCCAAACATTTGTCAGACCATTCTAGTTCTGAATTCTTTAGCCATGTCAATGCAAAACAGTGAGCAATAAAAAATAAAGAAATAAATAAAAAAAGTGACAGCATCTGCCCAAGATGGGCAATTGAACTAACTGTAGGTACATTTATACTGATGTTTTCTCCATTTACCCTAATAAATGAACACAAATAGTTATTTTGGCCCTTCTGTTTCACACTAATGAGGACCCCGCTCCGCTTACCATGACCTGATAGAACCTGATTGGATCACAATTAATTTGGAAAACCTTCGGTGTGAAAGCAATGATGCTGCTACACTCTAAGTGCTGACTTAACGGGCTATTCTCTGTTTATTTCCACTTCACCAGGATGCTCTCTTGTGTTCTCAGCATGCTTTTCAGCAGAACATTACTACACTGATATCACCACGTACACCCACCATCACACCGTGCCCCAGGTCCCACACTGGTAAGACTCATTCGGGCCACAGAAGGACTGGCTATCCTGATCACGCCACTCTAGCACCACTCTACCACCATGGTGGGTGTGATGGTGTTTGTAGCCTCTGCAACAAAGGTTTTAAAAATGATTTTGTTTTTTTTTTTTTTTTTTTTTTTTTTTTATATATGAAAAAGTCTATGTAACACTGACGTACCCTTTGAGTATTTTTGTTTTCTGGCAGTGAAATGTTTTAGATTAAATGCTTGTAAATTTGTATATCGTTGCCTGTAGATGTTTCATTGCCTCCAATGTAAAAAAAGAAAAAGCCAAAAATGCAAGTTTTTACCTTTCCGACGTACTGCATGTCTGTCCCGGTGTACTCCTCCAACAGAAAAAACTGGTTCCACATCCAGCCTCGTTTAGAGCGTCTGAGTGGCACTCCRTTGGCATCCTGTCCCATTAGTCCCGTCGATCCTCTCCGTCCCCCTGTAGTCCTTCGAAGAGCCCTGAGGCCATAACCCGGAGAGCTGAGGTGGGCCATGGCCCACATCACCACCAGCGCACAAACTGTCCTTCGACTCATGGCCAGACAACCACAAAACCTTCACCCTTCTGCCGCCCCAGAGGTCTGTGTCTGGTGGTCAGAGTATTGAATTGGTTCTCATGCTGTAAGCAGGAAAGGCTCCTTGGACTCACATAGAGCAGCAATCAGCCCCTGAAACACACACACACACACACACACAAAGACTGTCAATATCGAGAGAAGAAACAGCAGTTTGTTAGWTMTGAAGCTCTTTTTGTTTGAGAATCTGCAGACGAGACCAGCTCTACTGGTTCAGGCCTGTTAAAAAGCTATAGCATGAATGAAAGTGAACAAAAATACATTGAAAAGATCTACAACAATATAAAACCTTTAACAAGTCTGTAAAGTCTTTTCTTTTTGGAATAAAATCACACAGTTAGTCACTTCATTGATTTCTTTAAAAAGAAGTCTCATTATCGCGCAGTAAGCAATCTGCAACTTTAAATAATACCAGAGTTCAGCAGCACATTCCTCAAATGTTTAACTAATGTTAGCATTTACAAACTTTTCCCCAAAAAAATTATCTGTTTAATTTTACATTTCTGTTTCTTCTTAATTATTTTAAATTTCATTAGTCATTTATTTTTATTTTTATTTTTATTACTTGTGCGTCTACTTCCTGCACGGTTTGGCACCAAATGAGCTTTTCCTCAAGTGCTGAAATAATTAGTTCTTCTTGTGCATCAAATTTAAGTTTCCTTTTTTTTCCTYTTTTATTATAATCTTTACGAATCAAAACTATTTTAGATTCTCTGTGTTAAACAATCCAAACAATTCAAATGCTTCAGCTTTTTAATAACTAAATTGCAAATCTTAAAAAAAAGGATCATAAGCATCTGATGCAGACAATTTTCATGCACGTTAATCATTTTTGATGAAAAGACTCAAGGCAGATACTGGTAAACGCCAGCCTATAATGATAAAAATCAGTCACATTCGAGGCCAAACGAGCTCTGAAATACATGCGAGCCAACTGTCAGTTAAATGACCGATTGGCAGGCAGAACTCTGCCTAACAGGATAAATATCAGATCACACATCAGTGAAGACTTGTATCTAATACAGCACATAATGCTCTGCTGTAAACCCTTAAATCAACACCTCATGGAGCGGCCCATTGGGCTACACTTTGTTGTCAGACCTTGGCCACCTTGAACAATGTCAACTTCAGTTTGCWGGTTGAAGATCTGGGTAAAGAAACAAGCCTGCATTAAAACGGMAGCTAAATCATCCTGAAGCAGAAAACCGAGTGTGAACCTGTTGGGTTATACAGGACACAGGTAAAAAGTGAAGGACGGGCATGTATTATGTGTTTGTACTCATTATTCCACAGCGGCTGGGCAATATCCAGGCCACCAGTCTTCCTAAGCTGCGGTTTGGGAGGCGGGTTATCTGTGAGTCCATTGGGGAACGATGGTCTTTCATATTGTACACTCTCAGAAGAATAAGGTTTGGTTTAGCTGGTGTGTTGAGGAATGAAAGAACAATGTCTCAGGACATGAATTAAGCATCCTGASCTGCATGCAGGAGTGGAGCCAGACAGACTGAAGGGGGACAATAGTAGTGGCAGAAGTGCTGTCACAGTACCACAATATAGTCTTGGATGCCAGGGTTAAGTTTAGTACCTAATACATTCTGCAGAGAAGAAAACCCATCAAGTGTTCTCACACAGGACAACTTCAGAGATTTAAACTCAGAGACGCTTCATCACATCGACCGGGACAGCTTCGTACCGACTTCTGTACAGGGTGGGAGGGGGGATTAAAACAGCTGGGTGTCTTTGTAGGCAATGTTAAAAAATAAAATAAAACGCTCCATATTTCACCAGTCTGTCAAGCTGTTTACGACAGTTCAAAACATAATGGAGAGTTTGATACACTTGTGTGTTTTCGGCTCTGTCTATTCTACCAGCAGAGCTTTTTTTTTTTGTAAAGACATTTTGACTTAGTTGTTTATATTTCAAATCCATCACGGAGTTTACCGGGGGCGCAGACTCCGACCATCCAGAGATGCCAGCCTACTGKGATTTTCTTTTTTTATTTCTGTTTTCTGTCCTTTTGCCTTTCTTACACATTCAACGAAAGGAGGAGAGTCAGAATGCCATAAAATTTACTGTTCTTTTAAAAGAGCGCTGCAAAACGTCTTCGACTGAGCAACAAAAGCAAAATAGAAGAAACGTGATAGAAAAMGTGCAAAGTGTGTAAACCACAGCTGGAGCTTTTTTTTTTACATGACAGGAAAAATAAGAAAAGAGAACAGTTACTGGTGATGCTCATTTTTCATGCTATCAAAGAAAAGTTTGGGTTTCTAAAAAAAATAAAAGTCCTGCCTCATGGCATAAAAATCAGTATCAATGCTKATGTGCACACAGTCTCAAAAGTCATCAGGAATCAACCTGGAAGTCGTAGGCATTCAGACCCAGGTAAGGTAAGTTTATTTGTATAGCACATTTCATGTACAAGACAACTCAAAGTGCTTTACATAAATCATTAAAAGCAAGGTATAAGCATAGTGAATAAAACATATAAAAATAAAACACAATAATACAAAACAAGAAAAATACATTTACAAACAAAATACAATACAGGGTTGAATTTAGTTTAAGTTGAATGCGTGTAATATCCAAAATATTCAGTCTGTGGTGGTATAATGATTATTCATTGAACCAATGCAAAATAAAAGTGCATTCATTAGGAATTAATTGTCGGGAAAATAGGCACAAAGCTAAGAAACAGCATCAACAGAAAGATCTGAAAACTCTGATGATCAKTTACCAAAACTTTATGTAAACATGAAGTATTCAGTTTATCCCTGTGATCAAATGGATATTAAAGCTTGCCTTAATTTGAATTATGCAAGAAAGCAACACATTTCAATTTGTTTATCAAGTCTTTTAATGTCCTATTTCATTTCTTTTGATGAATGATATTGAATAACAGGCACAAATATTAAATTTATGATTTTGTATGAAGAAGAAAAAACATGTTTTGGGTTAGTAAAATTAGTGGATGTCTCATTTTCAGTGTTGCATTTTATTGCCAATCGTTGTACCTTAGTGTCACTGCCACGAAAGGACAGTCAGACTGGCTTTTAAGACATCTAAATTCTTTTTTAAAGTTATATTTTGTCATGATTTGGCACTACATTAATCATCGAATTTGAATTAAACTGTCAATCAAAAATAATAAGCGCCAATGTGGAAGCTGCATAATTGTTGCTGTTTTTAACAAGCCAAGTTTCAAAAAAGTTGCTGGAAAGATGAAGTGAGGAAACAAAAACAACAAAYAAATTAAATCAACCCCTTCCCAAAGCACAGAATTTAGTGCAAATTGGGATCATGATTGTTAAAACTTTTTTTTTCTCATTGAAGGATCAGCTCTGTATTTTGGTGATGTCGTGTCCAGATTGTGAAGTAGGGGCTATGTACATTTCTGAGCTTCTGAGGGATGCACTACTCTACTACTTTTTTCTATTTCTGGTTTTGAATTGCCCCAATGAAGCTAAAATAGAAGAATAAATTGGAAAACGTTCTTAACTCCCACGTTTGTGGTGGTGTTTTTACACTGACACAATCCTAATGACATAAAACATCAGGCTTGTGAGGAAAACTTTTGCTTGAAAAGAACTGATTCAGTAACTGGACAACTGATAACATGAACCCACTACACTGTGACCTATTAGAACAAGGTGAGTGAAAGAAATCAAGCTGCTGCTATGATTTTAGTCAAGCCCAAAAGTTTTTCCTGCCTTTTCCATGTCCTCAAAATGTGTTTCCTGAATGTTTTGTCCATCACGGGCCTATGTAATGCAGCATTCTTAATATTCTCATTAGGACCTTCGAAGGTCATCCATGTTCTGTCTGGTTCTGGAATTTTCATCTAGAATAAGAGGAGCCATGAAATTGATTTTCTTAAAGCTGCAATGTGTTTCATAGAAAGAGATAAAGTAAGTTTGGCATCATGTTGACTTAATGATGATATTTAATAAAACTTCACAAAAGAAAGTTTGAAAATATTTAAAGAATCACAGTTCCCACATAAATTCTATTTCAAACTGTGCTATTTTTGCTCATGTCAAACTTCTGAATATTTAAGTTTTAAGTTAAATACGATTCTCTTAAGAGTTTTGTACAGTGATCAGGCCTAAATGCTGTAGCTGTGTGTTCTATACACTATGGAAGAGCTATGCAACAGTTTTTTTTTCTCTTGAAGAACTACGGAGCCCCGGAGGGTAAATGGGGGAATTTTATTTTTATTTTATTATTTTGCATTACCTTGCCTGCTGGTTTAATTAAAAAAAAAATCACATTCTCTATCATTGTAGCTTATAATAAGCCTAATAATTAAATACTGCTGCAGATTGGACATATCACAGCCACTCTCAACCACAAATTATCACCATCAATTTCCCCAGCTTGTGGAGACACATCCTGTTTCGGTAACTAGATATTTCAAAATAAATGTCTCATTCATTGCAGGTAATATAAAACATTAAACTTTTGTGTGGGAACGCAAGAGAAAGAAATCCTTTCTGTGTCCCCTCCCTGGCTCGGTAAGGATCAACCACCCGGGCTACACTTAAACCTGTACATGAGCATGTCTGTGTCATTTAAACCAAAGAAAATGATGGCGAACATGTTAAACTCAAAACTGATTCGGTAGACGAGTCAAAACGTGAACATCGTGAATTGAATCAATTTTGAAAAATGCCAAACTTTTACTTTTAGATACTAAAACAAAAACGCATCTATAAACACAAATTTTCAATATTTTAATATTTGTAAATCTGTTCAGATGTGGCAAATACAAGAAACGTTGATATTTTTCAAAATCATGTAGGAATTCTGGAAAGCTGACGGCTGAGTCGATTTTCAAGAAAGCTCCATTAAACTTGAAAAGCTAAATAAAAATGGTATAAGAGGACCAGCATTACAGTGGGTATCCAGTTATCTGGATAATAGGAAACAGTTTGTACAGATAAATGATGTAAAATCAGAACTCTGTAACATCACATGCGGTGTTCCTCAGGGTTCTGTACTTGGACCAAAGTGTTATGATTCTGTCTCTGTCTGTCTGCTCTTGACCCAGTTCTTGCTCCTGTCTGCCTCTGCCCCTCCCATCC